CTGCACTATGCCCTTTACAATGATAAAGAGCTTTTAATATGTTATGGTGGAGTCATCACTGACATCACTGGAGAGACATCACTGAACATGTATCATTGTCCCTCCAGTGACCAGTGACACTATTTGGATGGAGCAAGCAGGACGCCAACCCTGGGTTCTGCATTAGACATGTGCACCATTGAAATTTTCAATTCGTACGAATGATTTCGTACTAAATAAAAAATTTTTTCGTTAATCCCGAATTTTGTCCACAAACCATTCGTTTTCAAACCAAATTCATAAAAAAATTATTTGTTTTCGTCCATTAGGACAAAAACAGCACTGCGCATGCACGAAAAAAAAACAAAACAAGGAGGAAGCCGGCAACGCTACCAGCTCCCTCCTTGTAATAAATATCTATTCCTACCCCCCGTATTAAAACCTATATGACCCCCATATTAATAAAAGGGAGGTTAAATCCTCTCGCAGGTGGGGGCTATTAATATAAATGGGGGACCCAATGTTTTCCTGGTCCCCACCCATGAGCGGTGGGTGGGTATCCTAAATAAATAAATAATGGGGGGGACCTAATGTCCCCCCCATATTCCCACCCATGAGCTGCGGGTGGGGTCCCTAATTAATTAAAGGGGGGACCTAATGTCCCCCCTGGTCCCACCCGCGAATAGGGGCATGCAGGAGGATTTTACCTCAATTTCATTAATATGGGGTCATAGTGACCCCTATAGATTTTAATGCAGGAGAGGGGATAGGAATAGTTATTTATTACAAGGAGGGAGCTATGCACATTTCTATTCTGCATGTTGGGCCCAGTGGGACAGGGAGCAACAAATAAGCAATTCTCAACACACATTTCCTAATTGTAAGGTATCATGCTTATGATGTATTTGTAATAGTTACTTGATCGCAGTTTCCCAGTCCCACTGGGCTTCCAAAGTGCAGCTATCTAAGTGGAAAGGTGTCCTGAAATATGAAGTTATGACCAGACATCTACTGCACCTTCTATTGCCATTTAATAACATGATTAAACGTTATGCTGGTCAATGCATAGCTCTCCTGCTAAGTATGGAGAGGGAGAGATATTATCATGTTATGTGTGTCAGTGTGTGACTATGATTGCATGTTATTATGTGTCTGTGTATGCATTTTAGTGCATGTCTATTGTGACAGAGTGCAAGGCATTGTTATGGATGGAGTGTACATTTCTTAAAAAGTATTTGAATATGTGAATTAATAGCCCCAGGAAGAAGGTCTGTCTGGTTTAGTCAGAGCAATTTTGCAATTTAATATGGGTTCCTGGGGTGGAGCATTTGGGGTTAAGGGAGGGCTAGTGCTCCATTCCACAGTTTACATACAGCACAGCAGGTGAGCAATCCAGTCCAGGGGTTCTGGATCACCCAGATAGTTGCTCACCTGTTGACAATGATTAGCACAAGACTATTATAAAATTTCTCTGTCAGGGATTCAAAGAGAGAAAGACAAGCAGTGTGTGAAACTGCATTGCTCTCTACAAGAGTCTTCATGTTCTAAAGGGCAAAAGAAACATTTATTTGGGGGGAAAAAAAGGTCTGCGCTCAGATTTGTAGTTTTGTATTATTGGAAGCGGGTAAGCCGTCCAACAGCAGAGAAAAACTGTCAGCTGGTGCTCAGAAGAGCAAGGCTTTTCTTTTTTTTGTTTGTTTTATCTTTGTTTAAATTGCCAGACTTCTTAATAAAGAAAAAGACTACATTCACAAGAAATATGATTTGTGTGGTGTTCCTATCATTAAGACTGTGGTTGTATGGTCCCAGGTCACACTATATATATATGTCTATGTTTGTATATGTGTGTCGATGTATACCTGTTGGCATATATTTATATATGTGTCAGTGTGTGTCAGGCTATACATTGTCAGAATGTATAGAAATGTATATGTATGAACAAATTGCTAATTAGGTTGTGTGGCGATTTATGTATGTGTGTCAGTGACTAGTTATTTGTGGGTGTATATGGATCTAGCTGTTTACATATATGTGAATGAAAAACTCTGTATAAATAATTAAAGGAACACTCTGAGCAAGGAGTGAAACTATTTTAGAATGGTTTGACTTCTTACTTACGGGGCTCCACTCGACACCTCCTACTACAAATCAGTAAGAGTTAGAGTGTCTATTCACTGAGCTAGACCTAGGGGTCCTGGGCTCAGCTCATTGGCTGAGAGCAAGCAGCAGGAGCTCTCAGCCAATAATCTAGCCCTGCTTGTGGCTCTCACTGAGCTGTAGCCGAGGTGAGAAGTGGTGCCTAGAGGTAAGAAGCCAAAAAAACAATAAAGCATGCTGTAATGCTTATGGTACTTGGAGAGTTCCTATAAGGTGGCTAGCTATGTATGCATGTGTTAATGAAGGTGGGAGGCCTAGCAAATCTATTTCCACCTAAGCCCAACAAATTATAAGAGAGACCCTGCTTCTGACTAGCGTACCATACTGCTTGTGTACCAAACATTTAGATGGGCCGGTCATTGTATAAAGAATACTCAGAATACTCAGCAGTTCAATGTAGTGTAAGTAATGAACCAGTGCAAAAAAGAGAAACACTTTTAAACTAAATAGATAAATTCATTACATCTCTGCACACAGCATACCAAAAACACAGGGAGATGTGGAATTACAATTTATAAATTGAATTAATTTAGATAGAATTAGAGGGTTTTCCCCAGATTTGCATCTTTACTGAAGGCAACTCTAGGGGAAACATGGGAACCTTTGACGAATGAGCAATTTTCATTTGCTACAATTTTGCATCTGCTTTAAAATCAGCAATTCAGAGGTATGGATTCCATACAAGGTATAAGCTTTTCATATTTATGCAACAATACATTCCAACTGGATTCAATGGGCAGGAATCAAGTAGCAGGTGGATACATAGTTATAGTTAAACTAATAAAACAAATCAACTGAGGACCTAGAACCCTGAATAACCAGGAGGGTGAACTAGGAGAGTTTGAGATGCCAGTTTAGTAAAAGGTAGTCAACGACATTTTCAGTTTTCCAATTCTTCCTTTTATAAATGAGTGCCACCGGTGCAGAACATAGATGTCATTATATGTTTTGTTTCTTGTTAATAATTTTACTTGTATGATTTATTTTAATTAATTTAAAACATTCTCACGCTGTCCACATGCTCTATTAATTGATTACCAGTGTATGTGAATAAGTAAGATGATTGAGACGTTCAAAACGTGGACACAACTGAGAGGACAAGTCAATATCTAGCTCCTTGTGTGAAGTGTTTAATAATATTTCCTACCTAGATACAGCAATCAGACTTTCAGCAACAGACTGTTTTTTTAAAACAATATAATACAGTAGCAACAAGTGCGTGAATTTGTTGTCAAAGGCGTTCTTCAGATTGTAATGTCATTTTCATAAGGGCTTCCTAAACATAAATGGAGGTGAATTGAAATCAGAGCTGCACATTTAGACAAAAAGTGCTTATTTGGAAAAATCCTAAACCTCTGGTATTGTCATAGCTTGTTTTAGCTTCAATTCTGGGTTTAAACTCACTTCAAGATGGTTCTTAGTGAATAAACTCCACACTCTTTTCTCAGAAAACATAAACGGAACCTGTCGTCATGTTTCCATTTTTGGAAAATAAAACAAACTTGAAATTTTTTCGAATGTATTTTGTTTTGCAATATTTTTCCACTATTTTTTTTTATTTTTTATTAAGTACTATTCTTTTTTTGTCATTTTGCTACAGTGAACTCTGAGGAATTATGAGATAATGCCAAAATAATTAAAGTTTTTTCTAGAATTTGATTTTGCCTGTGAAATTAAATCCCTCCTACCTGCAGGTGTAAATGCAGCATCAATTGCTATGAAAAGCCAATTAGTTTGCTAAGAGTGGCTAACACAAAGGATGAGCTCCAGGGTTTCTTAGAGCCTCCACCAGCTATGTGCCAACAACAAGACTACAAAGTAGCCCTTGCTCAAACATTCCAGTGTTGGTTTTTCTTTCTCCTAATATCATACTAGTTGCAGCAAATAACACATATATTTCACACAATTATTTTTTTTATTTTATTGATGTTTCTACATTTTGAATTGTAAGCCCCAGCAAGTGACAGAAACAAAAACATGGTATCATAGCAAATATCCAAAAATATAGAAAACAAAAAAGTAATGTCCATGCTTTACAATAATTAAAAATATATAAAGTTGGTGCACATGAGCAATATAATTTGCTATTCAGTAGTTTTAGATGTTTGTAATAACTCAGTGATAGCTTAAAATGTTTAATTTCTTATCAAACTTAATTACTTTCAATGCATAATTTGCAAAAACATTGTAATTAACAAATGATGTGCGTACATAATAAAACTAAAAATATTAAATAGATTTTTTTTCTCTTTCTAATCACATCCAAATTCTGTATTTCTTGCACAAATTATACACAAACTATAGTTAGTGAAATATAATAAATCTTTAGAAATATATTTACAATTATTTTATAAACAGCATATAAAAACAAAATATCGAACTCACTCACAAAAGATATTAATTGCAGATTGAGATGTCTAGTTAATAGCTTTGCAGAGTCATTCACACTTTTGCTCTGTGTGCTATATTAAAAATGATATATTTTTCTTTTCTTTTTTGTAATTTAAATTTATTAGTAAAAAAAATTGTGTGTCTTGTTAAAACAGAATAGTGGGTCTTTAGATCTGATTTTTCAATTTCCTTTTTGCACACACTTGTCATTTTTTATTATTACCATTTATTTCTTCATTTTTTTCGATTCATTAGATGGATGTACTTTCAGTTCAGTGTTGTTTAATATTTTGCTTGGATTTTTCAATGTGTTCAATTACAGTAACTGTAATTTTCAAATGTCAATACAGAGATTTTGAAAAAATACCATTGCAAAATTTCCACATTTCCTTCAAAACCAGCAAAATAAAAATGAATTTACTATAACATTGTGAAATAGTGAATGTGTACCTTTTCTTGGTTCTAACTTCACTTTACTTCTCAGAGCTCTTAAGAAGTTCAGTCATAAAGGATATGTAAACTATTGCTAGACGTAAAGTTTCAATTCTGGAAAGTCTTTTTTCATAAGCAAATGTCGGTACCTTCTTTCGAAGCAAATCAAAGGCCTCATTAAGATTAAACATCCTCTTCCTCTCTCGAATGTTTGCAGCTTGACGCTGTGTGTGTGTAATCACTCTTTTTCGCTTTGGTCGTCCAAGTGGAGAACATAAATGCAAATCATCCTCATATTCTGTTTCTTCATCTTCAAATCTGGACATCGAAGAGGTATCCTCTTGAAATGAAAAGGTTCCATCACCAAATGCTGTAAAGTCATAAAATCTGTCACAGAGGTTCACACTTGTTGGACTCATCATTGTGTTTGGAGGGTAGTGTTCTTCCCTGTAAGAAAAATCAATCACATGTGAATAAACCAAAAAAACAAAAACAAAACAAAACAAAACAATGGAATCTAGGAATCTCTTCTAGTATTCCATCTGTGGCCAACTAATTATTCTAGAGCTTGGTATATCTTGGGTGTGATGGAATGTCCTTGATATCTTACTTTGTCAGACTTGCTTGAAATAAATATCTTACAGAAACGAGGCAGGCATTGCTATATATCCAAGTAGCTAACAGGATTAAGAAGTAAAAAAGGGAGCGAAAAAATTGTTTCATCTTAATGTTGATAGGAATAGACTTAGAAAATCGGAGGACACGTGGATATTTCCAAGAAGTAACAGTTTGGGTTCCTAAATCCTGTTAAACTAAGGAAAGCATTTTCTTTGATAAAATAATTTGTAGATCTCACCCACTGGGTTCGGAATGGTTGGAGAAAAGTGATCTGAAGTAGAATTTGCTTTTGATGCTCCGTCTCACAGTGTTCCCTCTTCTAATGAATTCTGCGAAGTTTAAGAGAGAGTTTTCCAAGTGATATGAGACAAGTGTATGCCTTCTCTTTATGATCATTTGAAGAGGAGGCTTGTATGCAAAGGGTCAAAAAGAAATGTTTACCTTGTTTCCCAGTGAAGAGGCAGCTGAATGACAGGACCTCCATTAGCCTATGCAAGCAACGTAGTGTATCCAATATTGCATTCCCAATTGTAACTGTTGGAATCAGCTTTATCCTCCAAGTAAGTACAAATATGTTTCCAACCATGCAATAAAACTCTTCTTTTAAATTCCAGCATAGCTTTGTTTCTTGCAATTGAAAATTAAGCCACTTTTTCTAGCGGTACTTCCAACATGATTTAAACCAAATATTTGGACACGTACTTTATTAAATAATATAGCTATTTTCCATTATTAGCTGTATTACTTTTTCAAATACATTTGTACTTTATTTTAATAAAGGTATTTAGAATATAAAGGTTATTTACTAACTCTGAGTAGCTGAGTTGGAGAATGTTTCAAGATCAGCTATTTTAATGAAATCCTTACACTCCAGAGTTAATTTGTAACAATCAGAGATTAGTGACTAAGTCTGTATATATTTATATCTTGCACATTAAAAAAAATCAAAGACACTATTTCCATTCTTTGTGTTCTACCAAAAATAACATTTATGAATTTTAACGGGAAATCTCATTTTGTATTTCATTTGCCAATTTTTGTTAAATGAAAAATTGTTTATAAATACAATGGTTCTACTATTTTAACTTTTCTATCAAATATGAGACCATATGACTAAATATTAAAATAGATTAAGTGAAAATGCATTTAGCTTTAAAAATATAGTTTTTGCATGTTTCAGTGAAGCACTAAAGAATCTGTAGTTATGCCGGAATGAAAAGCCAACTGATTTGACTGCAACATATACCATGAAGCTGAGGATGATATGTAGTCTAAATAGTTTGGATGCTACCAAGTGAACTTGCTGGGCCAGTATCTTGAAGTAGTGCCATCTTATCTTAGAAAGCCTACACTGACTTTTCAATTACATCACAGGATGAAGGTTATGGAGAATCAATCCAAGAAGATGACAAGAGCCAAAGAGGCCACTCTGTAATCATTGACCAAAGGAAATGATCTGAAGCAGATAGTAAAGTGAAGTGTATGAGTGAGTGACCGTGGGTGTGATTGGAGGGCTAAGCATGAAGAAGAGAGACAGGAGTAGAAGTGGTGGTGTGAGTGTGAAGAGTAATGGGGATGTTTATACTCTGAGTAGCTAGAGGGAGTATGAGGGTGAGGTTGGGAGTTGGGAGGGGCTTTGCAAATTCTGTTTGGTTGAATGTGGCTGAGAGTGCTGGGTTGGGCATGGCTAAGAATGCTAGTGGGAGTGAACTTGTAAGTGTTGGTGAATGAATACTGCATAAAAGACATATAATGCAGAGTGGTCTTCATGAAAACGAGAGAGTGAACACCAGAATTAGGAGAAAAAAACTTTTTTTATAAAAAGAAAGTAGAGGATGGACTGGCAGGAAAACAGCTAGCAATCAGAACTGTGTATAAATTTCATAGATGGGATCTGAGCGACCTGTAAAACTGATTTACTGCTTTCTTTTGCAATATAAAATGCTGCGTGTGGAACTGTAAGTTTGTGCTATCACATGTTCTCAAGTTTAGAGATATATACTTATGTAAAGCATTTGGAGACTGTTTATCTCTGTAAGTAAACATTTTGTCAGCTTATCATGTGAATGAACATAAAAAGCTTTAACTTATTTACTTGTATGGGTGGGTAATTATGATTATTTCACATCAAGTATTAAGTATAATAGTCATGCACATGTGATACTTTATGTTTTTACCTCAATGTCCTTATCCATGGCCTCCCAACTCTACGATTTAGGTGGGACGGTCCCTATGTCAGAATCGTATCCTGATGTCCTGACTTTTTTTGCCCTGGCGAAACCAGAGATGTGGCTGAACCTACCGTCAATTTCATGGTTCGTGTGTTTTATATTTTTCCGTTCAGGAGTTATGGTATACGAACACACTGCATTCAACTCCCGAACAAGGACCACCCTGTTACCCCAATAGAATGTTCTCACCTTGTAACTTAAGTGTGAACCTGCAAGGAAGTAATTAAAGAATGCTTCCCCTGGGTGGCTGCCATTTCATATAACCAAATGCACGTGGTTGACAAAGGAGTGGTGGCCATTTTGTCTCCTGTACCTGGGCAGCGGCACTTGGTCGTCAATTGCATGGAACTCTTTTCGGGTAGGCACTAGCACGAACCCCAGTGAAGATTAGACCGCTGCCCATTCTACTTCCCAACCAACTATGCTAGCAACTTTTGGGAGATGGGAACTACCGAACAGGGGGAGCATTCATACCCTAAAGTTAAGAAAATTCCTTGCATGGTGTTTGCACAGGAACATCCGAACAGAGACCGGCCGGGACACCTATTTCCCTGGAACTGTTTTTGGCTAGCACCTCATGCCCGGTCAAAACGTTACCCTGGTGGCATTCCAGTTTCCCCGAACCGTGATATTTCGATATGTTACACACTCAGATCAGGGCTATCCGGGGATATAACTTTTGTGGAGTTCCTAGTTATGGTGGGGGTACATTTGGGGTACTGTACATTTTTTGTACCTGATAATTGAATTATAGGTTTTTCCTCATGCCATTATCTCTCAGGCACAAAGGATCCCGAGAATGAAAAACCTGTATTATTGTGTTAGAGACCCCATGTAGGGCTCTGTGCATACAAGCCGACTTCCAGAACTATGTTTCGGCTGGTTACTGGGGGAATGGATTTCTGCTTGTTTTAATGGTTCCAGATTGGCTGAGAGAAGGAATTAGCGGAGGTAACCAGTCGGATTACCATGGTCCGCTACAAGGTAACAGTTCCTATAAAAGAATAGTGCATGATCTACCCTTATTGGGCTGGCCTGATTGATTGGCAGTCAGTCTGGTGTGCATTTCTGCCAGGAGGATGTGCCTACTCTTTGGGAAGATGCCACCCCTTTGAGTGGCACGAGTGATGCAATTCACGTACCTGTCCACATTTACCCACCCACATGTGTCCCGAATTATGGGACCCCAGTGTTGGGGGTATAGAATCCTCAAATTGCTGCTGTTTGATGCTATATTGTGCAAACAGCAACAAGCAATTAGCATGTCAATGATTGTTGGGGGAGTAGAGAATATACACAACCAGAAAGATGTAGACAACAAAAATGTAATTTGAGTATTTCAGTTTTACTCAATCACGTTTTGTGTCCTGCGATGTGTTGTATGTAGGCCCTGGATTCCAGGTGACAGTTCTGTGCAACCTGGTCCTGCACCCATATCCAAAGGGTTATATATATACATCATAATAAAATACAAGCCTGGTTTTTTATATTACATTGTTTAAGCTCAAGCTAGGGTCGGGGGCAAGGGTTCCTTTAATCTCAGTGTAGTACCTGAAGATACATGTCCCTGTCTGAAAGTGATTCGTAGGAAATACAGGTAGGAGATTCTATCTACAGTTTCCATCACAAATTCAAAAATTACTGTTGTGCATTACATATATTTCACAAGTAAGAAATGTCCATGATGTCCACAGCAATTTTAAGAAATTGTTTTATGTGTGGACAGGACGAACAAAAGTACCTTGAGCAAATTTCTCTATAAGTTAAAGGGACACTTTAGTCATTAGACCAACTACAGCATATTGTATTTGTTCTGGTGAGTATAATCATTCCCTTCGGACTTTTTGCAGTAGGCATTGTCTATTCAGTGTCTCCACCCTCTGTATGGAGCCTCTGAACTTTCGTCATAGAGATGCATTGAATTAATGCAGCTCCATGAGGAGATGTTGATTGGCCATGGCTGTGTTTGGCTTGTGTTGGCTCTGCCTTTCATCTACCTCCCTGACAGTCTCAGCCAATCCAATGCTTTCTTATGGAAAAGCATTGTGATTGGCTTTGATCAACACTTCTGATGATGTCAGCCAAGCAGACAGATCAGGGGCAGTGCCAGAACCAGCACCAGCAAACTGGAATAAAGGTAAGATTTTAATATATTTAGGGGGCCAAGAAGGGTCAGGAGGGCTAGATGGTGTTTTTAACACTATATGGTCAGTAATACATGTTTGTGTTCCTGACCATATAGTGTTCATTTAAAAAAAAAAAAAAATGTTCTTGAAATAGAGTGGGGGGAATTTGGTTATTACAAGGTTGCGTATCTAATCTCCTTTTCACATAAAGAATCTGTTCAAAATTCTGACCTACATATTTCTTTGATGTTCACCTTTGTATTTTTTATAGTGTCCACACCTGCTAGAAAGAGGAAAACAGAAAAAGCTTGTGACATAGTAGATTGAAAACATGCAAAGGCAGCCTAACCTGCAATAAATGGCTAATATAGAATATATAATTTACAGATCCGCATTGAATGGAAACTAATGTGAATCTTTATGTATTTTTATGTTTTCCTTTCCTTTCACTTACTTCAAACGGAACCTCAATTTCAACTATAGCTTTCTTTTCATCTTCTACATGCCAGAAACCTAAAACATATGCAAGCTTTAACATCAATTGTAATAAATTGGTCTTCCAGGTAAATTACTTCATATGGAGAAAACTGTCCCATTTCCCTTTGATTTAAACTTTCTACTCAAAATAATTTTTTTTTTCCAGTTTTTATTGTTTGCAGAGTAAAATGTTGTAAAATGTATGTAAGTATGTATATAGATAACTGTCTGTCTGCGTAAGACCACAATAATTTAAATTGCAGCTTCTTATTATTGATACGTAATGCATTAATTCACAAAGAATAATAGAAAATATTTTTGTAACTTTATATTACTAAGTACTAGAAGCCCATGTTACAGCCTGTGTAATCTATTTTTATTAGTAAGTACACACACACACATATATATATATCAATATAGATATGTGTATCAGTGTGTGTGTGTGAGTGTTAGAGGTGGGTAAACTTGACACTTAACCAGGAGGACAATCCATCCAATCAGAGTGCTTTGTGTCATTTTACAGTTCTTTGAAATTTTTCCAAAGTTCTTTGGAATTTTCCCACACTGTGTAATTTGACTCATAACACTCTGATTGGTGGGCTTTTTTGTGTAAAATGACACAAAGCACTCTGATTGGATGGATTTCAAGCAAAATGATAAAGAGCACTCTGATTGGCTTAAACTAGTCAATCAGAGTGTTCTTAGCCTAATTGAAGGGCAGGGCAAGGCTTTATAAGCCTTCCCCTGCCCTGCAGAGCTCAGTCTGAGCTGAGCCCTCCATGGGTGAAGATGGGTTATTTTTTTTGCGCTAATTTTTTTTCTTTTTCGCCTGTTTTTTTTTTTTTTTTTGCGCTCCGGTTTTTTTATTTTATTTTAAGTTCGATGGGTATGATGGTTTTTTATTTGCCATTTTTTGGGGCTGAAAAATGAAGATTTTAGAAAAAAGAAGACGTCAAGTGGTAAGTTTAATTTTTCTTTTAGGTTAGTTATTTTATTCCTCCCTCACTATTTTTGTAGGGTGCGGAGGGTAGGTAGGGGGTTACTTTTTTTTTGGGTGGGGGGGTGGGTGACTAGGGGCTTGGGGACCCCTAGTCACCTTTGATGGGGGGGGGGGCGGGGAAATTTGTCTTAGGTCCCCCACCCGCCGCCCAGCGGTGGGGGCCGGGGGGAGGACAGTAGGTCCCCTCCCCCCTCATTATCTTCATGGCCCCCACCCACTGCTCAAGGGTGGGGGCTGGAGGGGAGGACAATAGGTCCCCCCATTGTAATTTACGTCCCCCATCCACCGCTCAAGGGTGGGGGCCGTGGGGGAGGACAGTAGGTCCCCCCCATTGTAAATTATGGCACCCAGCCACCACGCAGGGGTGGGGTCCAGGGGAAGGACAGTAGGTCCTCCCCCCTCGTTATCTTTATGGCCCCCACACACCGCTCAAGGGTGGGGCTGGGGGGGAGGACAGTAGGTCCCCCCATTGTAATTTATGGCCCCCACCCACTGCGCAGGGGTGGGGGCGAGGGGGGAGGACAGTAGGTCCCCCCACTGATTGTCCATTATGGCCCCACCCACCACTGAGGGGTGGGGACCAATAGGCTGCTCACTGTTTACTAGACATGCCCCTACTCGCGGTATAGCGAGTAGGGGCAGATAATTTACTAATACTAAGTAATCTTTACTTAGTATTAGTAAAGTTGGCTGAAAGACCAATTTAGGTCTTTCAGCCTTTTGGTAGATAGCTCCCTAATACCGTGGATACGAACAAAGTGCCGAATTGCGTTCTAAAACAAACGAACATATGGTTCTCATTCAGTTAGAACGCAATTAGGCAGTTTCGTCTAAAATGACAGGAAGCATCGCGAAATCACAGAGGAAAGGTAAGAATTATGGGAAAATTGCTCTGACCAGCAGAAATGAAGCACATTTTGCTCCACCGCTGGTCAAAGCTGGTCAAGTGGAGAAAACCTCCATAAGGCAAAGAGTCCCTACTTTGTCTTATGATTTTAAAGAAAACTAAAGAAGACAGGAAGAAAAGAAGAACAGATCCTGAGAGAGGGGGAGAAGAGGAAGAGATTGAGAAAAGGTAAGTTCGGCATGACAGTGCCGCTTTAAGCAAAATGTACAAATATCTCTGTACGTGCAGCATTCCAAGAAGAAACACTGCACATACAGACTCCTACCAACATGACCACTTTTTTTTTTTTTTTTATATTCTTTATTTTGGCGTGCAAGGAACATGCATTTACAGTTGCGTCTGTAATGCCCCAACGGCATATACTCGCGTTTAGACAATAATCATCAAGTTGGTAGGCATGACATGAATATATATTGCACATATTTTGTATAGTGACGTAAAGGATAGTCGAGCA